GGCCTAAAATAGTGCAATATCTTCGTCTAACCTTTCGTATAGTAAAGCTATGCCTAGGCTAGCCCGATATCTCTAGGCTAGGCCGTCGCCTACTCTGGGCGTAAGGCGGCAAACCTCGAGTTCACTTCACTAGAGCGCGTTTGTCATGCATACAATTGCCGTATTCGATTCGGACTATATGTTGAGTATGTTATCCCGTTGAGTACAAAACTCAACGATAAATTCTGAGCGTTAACTTCGTTGAGCAGTTTCCGTTGAGCAGAGCACGAAAGTCCCATTCGAATACGGCCGATGAATTCTGGAATTTCCCGTTATACTGGCCCTCTATGTCAGATTGTATGGAATAGTTTCATGTGAAGACGTCTGATACGTAAAATCGGGAACATTCCGATTGTATACAGTAACAATGATTCCTAAATTTTATATGTTGAACAAAACTAGACGGGAAATGTCAACAAGTCTGTATAATGGCGGCCATTTTGAAAAATAAAAAATAAAAAAGGCCGCTTCCTCAATTTAAAAAAAAAGCCGGACGTGAAAACATGTTTTTTTTTTTACTTGGCCTTATATATATTATAATATGAAAGAGAACAAAGCTGATAAGGACCATGGCAACCCCAGTCCCATAAGTGATCTTTAATTAGAGGGAGGCCTGTATTTTGATGCTCAAGTCCCAATTTTTTTCTTGGCGTGAATGTAATATACATGTTGACATGATCAGTAAAGCATATTTTGTTTGCGATTTTCTTTAATAGGTCCAAGAACCTCTTCTGTTGTTGGGTGCTGATCGTTTTTCTGGTGTTGATATCCGAGTTCGTGTAAAAGGAGGTGGAAGAATCGCACAGATCTATGGTAGGCATATAACAAATTTTTAGCAACAAGCTTTGCAATTACTGTACAATACATTTTCTGTAATATAATTTTTCCTTCTCCAATACAGTGCTGTACAGGTTTTCATTTACAAATTTCCATTTTGTTAAAATTGAAACCAATTTGTATGTTTTCCCCTCATTTTTAGCCATTCGACAAGCTATCTCAAAGTCTCTTGTTGCTTATTACCAGAAATGTAAGTACCTTTCCTGGTTAATATTTTTGTTTTTATTTTAGTTTCAGTAATTAACTAAAATAGCATTTTGTAATTTTTAGTTCCTATGCATGTAATACAATAGGAACTATTGTAATCACTCTGTCACATTTCTTTGTTTTTTATTGTGTGTAGTATGTGTGTGCGTATGTGTGTAGACATATATGCCTATGCGCATGCGTCAAAGAAAAGCTTTCTGACATTTTGTTTTACATCGCGATGCGAAGTTCGATGTGGATTTTCTGCAGAGTTCAGTCAGGGCTCACGCTAACCAATCGGCAAGTTGGCATGCATGAAACTATTTTGGTTTTACGGCAAAAAAATCAACTGCTGTGGCATAGTTATTTTGAAGAAGGCCTAAAATAAAACAAAAAGGTTTTAATACTTGCTGAAATACATCGTTTTTTCATTTAGATCTCCATTTTTCACTAACTCCATGCGACGTTTTTTTCTGTTGTATGAGTAGTCCATAGAGCTATTAAACAACTAGAGTGTTGACAAGATGGCGCAGCAATGCAGAGTTATGTATGTGTACCATCCAAGATGGCCGTCGTATTAAAGCGCCACCTTCAGGCTTATTACATATTATTACATATTAATAAGCCCTTTGACTGACTATTATTTCATTAATGATAATGAGTAATGGTAATAACAAATTATTAAACTATTGTAGCCAAAATGAGGCCAAGTGGAGCATCTTATTCAAAAAAAGTACCAAGGAATGAAAATTAAAATCGTGTACATTACACCCAAACACCGCAACGCTCGAGTTTCGTACTGAACCCTCTGAGTAAATTGAGGGCGCAATTGCAAATGATGGTGCTTAGCGAAATTTGATTGGCTAAATCTATGGCAGCCATCTTGGATGGTACCCACACAGTTCTGCGTATTTCGAACATCGACTACATTGCGGTTAGCGCTCTAGTATTATTATTATTATCTAACAGTAAAGAAACTCAAATACGTAAGATGTTGACTTTAGAAACACTAAAATTTATTAGGCAAATATTTCGGCTACTCCTGTAGCTACTCTACGGTAATTAAGTCAAAGCAAGTCGGCATACGTCAGACGTATGCCGACTTGCTTTGACTTAATTACCGTATTGAGTTTCTTTACTGTTACGTTATATTATAT